AGAGACTTGGTTCATGTGCAGGGCACTACGTCTCATGGTGGTGAACAATTCTATAAAGTAACATTAAAATTCCTCCATGCATGTAGAAAATATGCTCCGGACAACATCTGGATATTTAATCATCTCCAGTGACCTTGACCTTGCAAATATTAACCTAAATTAAATGTGTCACACCTGTAGTCATGATAGTTACCATTTGTGCTACAATCCATCAATAAATGATGACTAAATGGTCCCTATACACATCTTCAAATTTTTATCTGAACTTTGACCTCTATGTGTAACCTTGACTTTGGTTGCAGGGATCTGAATTTTGCATGCGACACGACCTTAACCTTTGACCTAGAGACCTGGTTCATGTGCGCGACACTGCTCCTCATAGTGGTGAACATTTCTATGAAGTTTCATTAAAATCCCTCCATACATGTAGGAGATATGCTCCGGACAAAATTGGACGCCGCCCGCCCGCTCGACCGCCCGCCCGCCAGGGGCGTTCCCATAATACGTCCCGTTTTTCAAACGGGCGTATAAAAAGTCACTTAATGATACCGTGAACAGAGGACTGTTGGTCATTGAATTATTAGTCCCGATAATTTTGTATATCTATGTATTTTAAATATCAATTCAAGTTTTAAGTACTTACCGCTTTAATTCATCCAAAATCTTCTATTTTCTAGGTGTCATGACTTATAATCACGTCTTTTAAAGCCTTCTACTACGCTAAATGTTGTCTATATTTAAGGTGCTTTTGCACTACGCAGAATGCGAATGCGCAAAATGCGACATCGTTTGCTATGGAAAAAATGTACTGTAAAAAGGTGTATATGTCGTGTCCGGTCTATAACTTTTTAAAGTTTTTTTTTATAAATACATGTACTTGCCATAATTGTTCATGATATTAAGACATTGTGTCATGGCCAACAATTGGTCACCTATCTCCAAGGTCAAGGTCACACTTGGAGGACAAAGATTAAGGGTATATTTTGAGTCCGGTCCGTAAATCTTTCATTGATCAAAGGATTTTGAAAATACTTGGCACAAATAGTCACCATAATAAGACAATGTGTCATGCGCAACATATGCATCCCTACCTTCAAGGTCAAGGTCACACTAAGAGGTCAAAAATTAACATAGTCTGTTAAAGGGTATATTTTGTGTCCGATCTTGAACTTCTTCATAGTTCAAGGATTTTGAATAATAACTTGGTACAAATAGTTACAATGATAAGACAATATGTCAAGTACAACACCTGCACCGCTATCACGAAGGTCAAGGTCATACTTAGAGGTCAAAGGTTAACATGGTTACATGGTATATTTTATTTTCCGTTCATAACTTCTTCATAGATCAAGGGATTCTGAAAATACTTGGCACAAATAGTCACAATGATAAGATTATATGTCATGCGTAACACTTGTGTCCCTATCTCCAAGGTCAAGGTCACAATTAGAGGTCAAAGCTTAACATGATAGGTTTTTAATTTCCGTGTTTCATTTTGCTTCTTTAATAAATCTATTGTTGCTTTTGCAGATCTAACATTGATCATAATTTTGGACTGAAAGTCCTGAGATCCATACCTTAACTTTTTAAAATAGCACAATTTTATGCTTCATATAAAACTTCACTGAGGCGGGGGACTAGGTAACTCTATTACAAAATTTGTTAATTTAGAAATCGATATGTCAAACTGATCAAATTTCATACACTCTTTACACTGAATATGACTCATTGTTTTCCTTAAAAACAACTGCATAGACGCAATTTATGCCCCTCCGAAACAAAACGATTTGCTCTACTTTCTAGGTAATTGAAGTTTTTACAAGTGTTTATTTTGCTAGAACGTCTTATTGAATGTCTTTACGCTAACAGTAACGCTTCAAATGTAGCCTAAGACTTGGTTTTGTTGTAAGAGAACTTGATGCATCATATGACGTCTAATTTTTTAAATTGTTACTTGTCATTTATAGATATTTGGAGAACTATTGAACAAGTTTACTTCTCTCTGTGTGCGTGCGTGCATGCGCTATTGCGTGTTTTTGTATGTGTGTGCTTTAATATAGTGCTTTCGGTTAAATATTCATAAGTAAACCGTATCTTCTAGACATTTAATAGTGAGTTTACGATTTGGATTATATTTATTATATTTAAATTGTATTTAAACAAGAGTTAAGAAATGCTTTTACACCTTTTTTATATTTTATCGATAGATTTGTAACCAAATGACATAACGTCATCAACATCGAACTGGTGGTTTTACACATACAGCAATTAATAGACTTGGGTTTTTGTTTTGGAAAACCGATGTGGAAGTCACTTCTTATAAATATCAAAGTTACAAAATTGCACAAATTGCTGTCAAAATGGTTCAAATCAAACTAATAATTTCAAATGCCTTGGACGAAAATTATGTTTTTGTTTATTCATTATGGCAAAGTAACTCGAAATATCTAAGATCTGACCTGCCAACATTGCAAATCTTGTAAGTAAACCTACATCTGAAGAAATAGCAACGTAGACTTTCCTCAGAATCAAATGAAATATGGTGAAACATAAAAAACGAATTGCTCTTGCTATTTTGATGCTGAAGTTTGCTCTTTCAAATAAAATCTTTGACATAAGTAATATACAAATATACAATGGCAAAAAGCTGATGATGTTGTAATAGAGAAGGGGTTTTCTGATGTTAATTTTTTTACATCTTGTCACAGTTAATCCGTCATAACAGTGAATTTTGATGGTTGATCTGACGCACATTTCCATTTATGGTAAACTAAATATTTTTACAAGAGTTTCCTTCGTTTGTTCGAAAATGGTCTTACATTGCTAGTACGTGTGTTTACACCAATACAGTTGTTTCGAGCCTGTAAAGGACATGATAAGAATTGTTACTATATATGAAATATCAAAATATAGAAGAGCCGATTAGATATTATTAAGTTCGTTTGTAGAAAAACATAACTCAAAATCGCCAATCTAACTGATCATTTGTGAAATGGCACAAAAATGTGCTGTGAAATTCTCAAGCCCTATTTTACAACCACTCTTACTATAAACGAAATTTTAACAGAAAATATGAGACATATCGGTACGTATTTTCACACATGCAAGTTAAAGGAGGCTAAAATTTGAATTGTCCGGACTGTAACTCCTAATTATCCTTAAAACGGCCATGGTCACAAAGTGAAAGGAATTCAACCCCCACGACCCCCACCTACACCTAAACCCATCCAATTTCTGCGCATATTGTTAAATAATTTGTATGAATCGACATGAATCAAATGAATAATGCTCTGTTTACATAACCATCCTTATCCATCGGCCATAACTCTTATGTTAAAAGGTCCGACAATATCCCCTGTCAGTTTAATCGGCGGAGGATAATAATATGACATACTTAAAAGTTTCCATATCTCAAGATTCCAGGCTACCCAGAGGTCAAGTTTACACATAGGTCGGAAAATTTAACGTCTTGTGAAAAGCATTATTGCGTACAAGTTTTAAAGAAATCCGTCAAGAAAACAGAAAATACGAGTAATTTAAAAAAAAACAAAACCTGACCTTAAATATGCGTAAATGAATGTATTGTTAAAGAAGTTATTGTATCCAAATATGAAAAAGAATTGATTCATTAATGAGGATAATATATTTATCGAGATATTGAATGTAATAAATTTCATTTTTATGACTATTTATGACATTTCCCTTAGTCTATGTGACCCCTATACCATACACAAAGGAAATATATGGTGTATTAGTAAAGCTGAGGTCTCGCTTACTCCCGGAAGTTACTCGGATGATCCGGGACGATCCGGGGTGAAATTATTGTTGTAGTCACATTTACCCTGGCAGCACTACGGTAATTTCCGTATCATCCAGGCTGAGCCAAGGTGAAGCTACGGTTCATGCCGGTGCGTTCCCGGTCGTTCCCGGATGACGCTGCAAGAGCCCCGGTTGACCCAAGAACAGCCCCGGTCGATCCAGGCAGAGCCCTGAACGATCCAGGCAGAGCCTCGATAAAACCCCGATGGATTGAAAATGCGCGAAAATGATTACATTGATACATAATTTTTATTTATTATAATATCTATTATTCCAGAACAGTAATTCATGATGATTTTCTGAAAAATCCTTAAGCAAGAATGGATAGAAGGGAAATGGAAATAATTTTAATACAAACAAGTGCAATCAAGGCGAATTGTCTTGATTCTTTTGAAATTAACAGGGCTTTGCCGGGGCTTTACCGGGATCAATCGTAGCTCCATTGTCATCTTCCGGGGTTCTGCCGGTATCCTCCGAGGCTCTCATACCCAGGACCATCCCCGATTTGTGCCGGCAGAGCTTAGGATGAAGCCGGCAAAGCTATACTTCCGGATCATCACGGACCACCAGTAGCCACGAATGAAATATTGAATTTTGTTATCACAAGGGAAATAACAATCCATCTTCCACTGAACTGTTCTATTAAGAAAAGTTTCGAAACTATCCTTTTAATATATATACTCAAATTGAAAGATGTCGGTGATGTGACTTTGTTCTGGTGTAATACATGTATTCAACTAATTTATCAGAATTCGATGAAGGATTAAGAGATGAGGTCAGATACAAGCTTGAAATTAGTTCGTTGCAATGAATCAATTCGATGCCTTAAATATTAACACGGTTATCATAAAAAACACGTAAACGCTACTACAAAACTATTTACTAAAACCTCAAAGATTGCAACAAATATCGACAAAAATGAATAAAAGAATTTCCTTCAAAATTATAGGAGCCGCCATTGTAGACAATACGATATCTATACGAAAAGTTTAATATTTAATTACCGATATAATAGCGTAAGCACACACATTAAATGATTTTCTTCTAATATAAGGGTTATCTGTGGTAGTAAATACAATTTAAAAAAAGAAATCGACCCCTTGTTTATTTCTTAAATATTGAAAGATACGTCTATGTTATTATTTATTAAAACGCACATTCTTTCTTTTCTTGTTTGATAG